ATGTAATAGCTGAAAGGCAGAAGAAGCTCGGATGAGAAAAACATGCACCTGAAGAGAAATGTAAATATGAAGTGAATTCACAAGAGTGCCGACTCATGAAATACACTCAATACTCACGTCAGCTTCTAGGGGTTCCTCAGACAAGTTGGAAAGGGCTGTAGATAAGGCCTCTTTTGCTACTGAATCCTCTGCTGCATCAATCTTTGTTCGCAGAAGTTCCATGACCTTAGTTACGTTGACCTCCTCGCCATCCTGAAGAGAAGACAACAAAGGGGTCCTCTACATCACCAGCATCTGGAAGCTAAGATGGTTAAACTATATACTGAAACTCAATGCGAATATTTAGCACTTGTGAGTACACACGTACCAGGACTCCATGGTCTTCGAGGGCGCACAGCGACACCAATCTTCGGCTTTCGCCGAGAGATACCCTTGAGTTCTTCGCGGAAGCACAGCGCGTGCTTTAGTGGGGCTTCTTGTCGGAAGCCAAGGCAGGGTGTGAAGCTGACCAAGGCCAGAAAAAGGCGATTAGTAACATGTCCGAAGGGAAATCTCATGCAATCATCAATGGCATTGATGTCTGCTTGAGAAATATACAATAAAGTCCTGAAATGGCTGTCAACATATCCTAATTTGGTCGATTAAAAAAAAAAAAAATAATAATAAATAATGATGATAATAATAACTTACTCAAATGGGTGTGACCTTCTTTTTCGAGGCACTCTTTCATTTTTTCTTTCATGTTACTCATTTCGTCTTGGGATGGCATCATAATATCCATGCACATCTTTTAGCTGGAAAGAAGAGGGAGAGTTTGAATTACTCCTAAAGAAAATCCCAAAGGCATACAGTGGTCAATTCTGCTTCCAATATGTATTCATTGCGTCCACCGATCACAGACTCACCTTCATGAAGAGTGTGGTGGAACTCCTGGTCATTGGGATGGCCGTCTTTCATTCCGCTCGCGACTACAGCGAATGCCGCCACCAACACGATCGTCAACGTATTCATGATGGAAGCGTCTGTGGGTTAAAAGATGTCGTGACTATAGCCTTCTAGCGTGAGTGAACATTGTCGCTAATGCAGATCAAGGATTTTACCATCAAGTGTCTTGCACAAAGCAAATATCGACACTAAAATGCATGAACTCAAGTCTATTCCCGACAAACCATCACGCACACTCATGGCTTACCTGCGTCGAGATACGACTTGGCGTAAGCAGCAAGAGGTGTGAGATGCACGTGGATGTGTTTGCAAGCATATATATGCGCGCGTTTGCCGGCGAGGAAGTGCCTGACGTCATGTACTGACGTCACCAGTCCTATTGTGGCCAAGAGATACATTTTCAGGTACTATAATATTTGAATGACCCAATTTAGTCTTCAACTGAACAATTCCGCCATCCGCCCCCGTGCCCCCCTCTCTCCTTAGCCCCCCTCCATGAAGCTATTTAGATCCGCCAGTGGTTTCGGTGAATCATCCTGACTTGACTTCAAGCGCGTGTTGAGACATCGTGGATGTAAAGAAATACGGTGAAATGCTTTTCATGAAATTAACGGCATGGGTAGTACCGCAAACGAAATTAGAAAGACGATAGTTTCGTGGAAATCAACCATATCCTTCACAACGAAACTGAAGCTTCATCGAAGACAGTCCACTTTTTCGTTGCAAATCATGCAACGTCAGCAACCCTACGACGGGCAAGGCCAAGGGCGTCCTGGCCTGACGACGGAATGCACAGGAATTTTCCGGATCAAAAAGAAATTGTTTTCAATCAGGTTCTTTATCTCTCTTCCTCTATCTGCCCTATCCCCTCTCTCTCTCTCTCTCTTATCTTTCTCGTCTCTCATTCTCTCCCCAACCCTCTCTCTTTCTCTCACCCCCACCCCCCCCACCTCTTCTCTCACTCTTTCTCTCCTTTCTTCTCTTTCCTCACTACTTTATTTGACTGATCCTGTCACCTGACCTGACCTGCCTTCACTTCCGTTCGCCCGTATTTTCCTTCCCTGTGTTGCTTCTCTCTCCCACTCATACTCCTTCCTCGCCCCTTCCTCTTCAGATAAGGTGAAGTCCAGGAGGATTTCGAAACTGTTTCCTTGTTTTCAGTAAATCATGTTCATGCACTGTGAGGTTTTCTATCATTGTTCAATACAGTAGTTTGTTTTACCAATCATACTAATAATTCTGTTTCAGCTACTATTATTATTAATAATGATGATAATAGAAATTATATGAAGATGATAATAACAATAATGATAATAGCATTTATGATAATGACAATAATAATGCTCATAGTAATAATGACGATACAAAAACAATAATAACAACATTAATAACTAGAAGCACTCAGAGAGCACATAACTCCGCCAAGGCAATAAGGTCACTGATGAAACAAAAATATTCAAACTTAAAGAATTACATTAAAATCACCTTTTAGTGCACAGGTATCGTCCGTAAGTCCGCAAACAACAAAATGATAATAACAAATATGATAATGATAGTAATAATAGTAATATACACATTGAGGATAAGGATTATGGTAATAATGATACTGATGTGGGTGATAATGATAACAATAATGACAATAGTGATGAAAATAATCGCAATGACAAAGATAATAACAATAATGAAAATAATAATAATAATAAAGGTAATGATAATAACTATGATGATGATATTGGTAATAGTAATGATGATAATAACAACAATAATAATAATGATAGTAGTCATCACAATAATGATAATTATAATAATGATAATGACAATAAAAATAATGATAACCCTAACAGCTGGAAAAATAACGAAAAACAAGAATTAAAGTAAAAGCAAGTATAAGTGTAGAAATGACGATAGCGATGATGCGATGTATGATAATGATATGGATGATGATAATCATCACGATAAAAATAATTACCATATTTATATTAAAGAATTTTATTACTACTACTAATGATAATAATAACGATAAATATGATATTATAATATTATTATTATGATCACTATTAATAGTATTATCATCATTATTATTACCACCATTATCTTCATATGATGATGGCACAACAGCAACAATAATACAAATAATGATAATGATAATTATAATAATATCAGTAGTAAAAATGAAAATGTTGATAAGATTAACAGTAATAAAAATGATAATGATAACAGTAATACTACTAAAAATGAGAATATTGAGAGTGATAATAATAACAATGATGATGATAATAGTATTAAAGATAATATTGATAACGTTATAGCTTAAGTAATAATCATAACAATAATAATTAGAAGCACTCAGACACCGCATACTTCCGCCAAGGCTTTAGGGTCACTGATCCAATAAAAAATATTCAAACTTGAAGAATTACATTAGAATAACCTCTTTCTGAGGTACACTGGTGACGTTCGTAAACATGACTTAATGATGATAAAAATAGTTACCCCTGTATATCGCGTTAACTGATGCAATCATTTTAAAGAATCGTGGGTCCGGATCATGATCCGGATCACCACCAAAATTGGATGGCATGTAAGTTCGGATAAGACACTCCTCTGGTAAAATTTTCACAGAAATCTGTTCTCAACCTTTTGAGTTATACTGCTAACCATTTAACAAACTAACACGAGCTACCAAAAAGATAACCTCCTTTGCGTGTGTGTAAATTTTTAAATTATATCTTTAATTACTGGCCCTCCACCACTACAACCTTTTGCGGATCACCTGTATTATTGCTAAGATTGAATAATTGGGTTTAAAGGAAACATTATTACTATTCAGATATATCATGAAAATTCACACACAATGCACACAAAATACTAAAATATTTTATGAAAATGGAATGAAAGAAAATGAATGTAAATTTGCAATATAATTCATGTAAAGAAAATTAATATTACGCTTTTGGTACACTTTGTTCATGTGTGACCAATGTTCGTTAACTCAATAGTCATTATTTCCACACTAGATTTCTCACGTAAAGTCCGTGTGCTGATATGTCCTCGCTTTCTTCACTTTGCCTTACTTCTATCTCCTCTTCTCACTCCTCCTTACGCCTCATGCCTCATGCCTCACGCCTTATACCTTAGCTCTCACGCCTCACGGATGCAGACGGGCGCACTTATTGGTGACGCGAATCAGCACTTTTCTACTACACACCGGAAATCCTATTAATTTATAGAAACCCTATTTTAATTCATTTCTTTACTTTCTTTTTGTTCACTTTTAATGTCACTTTTCTACGTTTAATAATAAGTTAACAAGTGTTTATTTTTCCTTACCGAGGATTTGCAAAGCAGTTGTTGATTGCCTCCTCGGGTGGGCATGTCTCGTCTGGGCAGCTGTGCGTGTGAATGTGACGTCACACTAGGGGAATTCCCTGGACATTCACTAATTTCATTTTCATTTTTTAAATTTGATTTTCTTTTTTTCTTTTTTATTTATGTATCACACGTGTTCAGTTTATTTATATTGGTCACATTTTTTTTATTTTCTATTTATGTATTTCTTTTCCATTTTCTTTGGTCACGCAATGGATATTGGTCACTTTTCTTAGGTCATTTGTTTACTCAGAAATAATTACAATGTTTCCATAGAAAAAAAAATCTATTATGTGTGCACAAAATACGCATAATCCGATCTGCATTCATTTACTCATTCAACATTTTATTTCATTCGAATGCACACTCCTCATACACGTCACTGCTTCACAGGACTTCGTTCACACTTCGACTCGCACACTCACTCACTCTTAGCAGTCGCAACGCTCACGTAGGATAATGTTCCTAACTGCCATTTGACCTTCTTTCTGACATTTAATTGCATTCCTTACCCTTTCATATATAAATATATATATACACATTAGTATGTATGTATATATAAAATAAGCATATGTATATATATATATATATATATATATATATAATTTGCATAAATATATATATATATATTCATTTATTTATTCATATTAAATGAATGTACGCATATTTATATACATATGCATATATGCATGCATATACATATATATGAATATATAAACATATATACATGTATAAATGTATATGTATATGTGTGTGTGTGTGTGTGCATGCATATATACATATGCACACACATATGTATATAAAACATTTATATATATAAACAAATGTGTGTGCGTGTGTGTACATATATTGTTATGTATACATATACATACACCCTTATATATATGTAAATGTATACATATATATTATAAGTATATATGCATTTATATATATACAAGAGAGGGAGAGAGAAAAAAATCTTTTTAAATGTAGTCTTTTCTTTTATTTCTTTTACCTTATCTCTCACACGATTTGGATTTTTAAACATACTTCCTCGTGTTTGTGCTATTTGTTGAAAACAACAAAAATAAAATTAAAACTGTGAAGCATATAAAATGCATGGGTTGAGCGCGTGTGCGTGCACGTGGCTGCGTTGTGCATGTCCAGATGGATCAGTGCATCCGTCACAGTCCTCTCTCTCGAGGGTTCGGACGAGACCTTCCTTCGGGGCTTTCCCTTGCAGGCGGAAACCCCGAGGGGATGCCATCAGGCTCCACAGCCGGGAGTTATTTATATCTGCCTTTAGGAGTGTTGCTCTGCCAGGGCATCATTCTCGGAGGATGTCAAATTTACCAATCGTTTGAGAAGGTATCAGATTACCAATGAAGGTATCATATTAAAAATACACATATATGCTGCAGTCTTTATTTTGGGAGGAAAATGGGTCAAGATGTTGCATCTATTGACTACAATGTTTATAGGTTTGCTGTGTTGCCTTATGAGGGTATCATTCGTAGAGGATATCAAGTCAAAAGCCAGGGATCCATATTCGCAAAGTCAATGCTTCCTTAGACACTTATGAATTTGAACACTTCGCTAATAGTTTCTCTTCGGTTAGGCTTGCAACCACGTTCATAAGGCAGGAGTTCATAAGAGACTTCTTGAGCTCCATGAAATGTAATAGCTGAAAGGCAGAAGAAGGGCACTATGAGAAAAACATGGAGAGAGAAATGTAAATATGAAGTGAATTCACAAGAGTGCCGACTCATGAAATACACTCAATACTCACGTCAGCTTCTAGGGGTTCCTCAGACAAGTTGGAAAGGGCTGTAGATAAGGCCTCTTTTGCTCTGAATCCTGCTGCATCAATCTTTGTTCGCAGAAATGACCTTAGGTTGAGGAAGAGAAAGACAACAAAGGGGTCCTCTACATCACCAGCATCTGGAAGCTAAGATGGTTAAACTATATACTGAAACTCAATGCGAATATTTAGCACTTGTGAGTACACACGTACCAGGACTCCATGGTCTTCGAGGGCGCACAGCGACACCAATCTTCGGCTTTCGGCCGAGATACCCTTGAGTTCTTCGCGGAAGCACAGCGCGTGCTTTAGGTGGGGCTTCTTGTCGGAAGCCAAGGCAGGGTGTGAAGCTGACCAAGGCCAGAAAAAGGCGATTAGTATCATGTCCGAAGGGAAATCTCATGCAATCATCAATGGCATTGATGTCTGCTTGAGAAATATACAATAAAGTCCTGAAATGGCTGTCAACATATCCTAATTTGGTCGATTAAAAAAATAATAATAATAATAATAAAAATGATGATAATACTTACTCAAATGGGTGTGACCTCTTTTTCGAGGCACTCTTCATTTTTCCTTCATGTTACTCATTTCGTCTTATTTTCCATCACATCTTTTGCTGAAAGAAAGAAGAGTTTGAATTACTCCTAAAGAAAATCCCAAAGGCATACAGTGGTCAATTCTGCTTCCAATATGTATTCATTGCGTCCACCGATCACAGACTCACCTTCATGAAGAGTGTGGTGGAACTCCTGGTCATTGGGATGGCCGTCTTTCATTCCGCTCGCGACTACAGCGAATGCCGCCACCAACACGATCGTCAACGTATTCATGATGGAAGCGTCTGTGGGTTAAAGATGTCGTGACTATAGCCTCTCTAGCGTGAGTGAACATTGTCGCTAATGCAGATCAAGGATTTTACCATCAAGTGTCTTGCACAAAGCAAATATCGACACTAAAATGCATGAACTCAAGTCTATTCCCGACAAACCATCACGCACACTCATGGCTTACCTGCGTCGAGATACGACTTGGCGTAAGCAGCAAGAGGTGTGAGATGCACGTGGATGTGTTTGCAAGCATATATATGCGCGCGTTTGCCGGCGAGGAAGTGCCTGACGTCATGTACTGACGTCACCAGTCCTATTGTGGCCAAGAGATACATTTTCAGTACTATAATATTTGAATGACCCAATTTAGTCTTCAACTGAACAATTCCGCCATCCGCCCCGTGCCCCCCTCTCTCCCTTAGCCCCCCTCCATGAAGCTATTTAGATCCGCCAGTGGTTTCGGTGAATCATCCTGACTCTTGACTTCAAGCGCGTGTTGAGACATTCGTGGATGTAAAGAAATACGGTGAAATGCTTTTCATGAAATTTAACGGCATGGGTAGTACCGCAAACGAAATTAGAAAGACGATAGTTTCGTGGAAATCAACCATATCCTTCACAACGAAACTGAAGCTTCATCGAAGACAGTCCACTTTTTCGTTGCAAATCATGCAACGTCAGCAACCCTACGACGGGCAAGGCCAAGGGCGTCCTGGCCTGACGACGGAATGCACAGGAATTTTCCGGATCAAAAAGAAATTGTTTTCAATCAGGTTTTTATCTCTCTTCCTCTATCTGCCCTATCCCCTCTCTCTCTCTCTCTTTATCTTTCTCGTCTCTCATTCTCTCCCCCAACCCTCTCTCTTTCTCTCACCCCCACCCCCCACCTCTTCTCTCACTCTTTCTCTCCTTTCTTCTCTTTCCTCACTACTTTATTTGACTGATCCTGTCACCTGACCTGACCTGCCTTCACTTCCTTCGCCCGTATTTTCCTTCCCTGTGTTGCTTCTCTTCTCTCTCACTCATACTCCTTCCTCGCCCCTTCCTCTTCAGATAAGGTGAAGTCCAGGAGGATTTCGAAACTGTTTCCTTGTTTTCAGTAAATCATGTTCATGCACTGTGAGGTTTTCTATCATTGTTCAATACAGTAGTTTGTTTTACCAATCATACTAATAATTCTGTTTCAGCTACTATATTATTAATAATGATGATAATAGAAATTATATGAAGATGATAATAACAATAATGATAATAGCATTTATGATAATGACAATAATAATGCTCATAGTAATAATGACGATACAAAAAAATAATAACAACATTAATAACTAGAAGCACTCAGAGAGCACATAACTCCGCCAAGGCAATAAGGTCACTGATGAAACAAAAATATTCAAACTTAAAGAATTACATTAAAATCACCTTTTAAGTGCATGTTATCCGCATGATAATAACAAATATGATAATGATAGTAATAATAGTAATATACACATTGAGGATAAGGATTATGGTAATAATGATACTGATGTGGGTGATAATGATAACAATAATGACAATAGTGATGAAAATAATCGCAATGACAAAGATAATAACAATAATGAAAATAATAATAATAATAAAGGTAATGATAATAACTATGATGATGATATTGGTAATAGTAATGATGATAATAACAACAATAATAATAATGATAGTAGTCATCACAATAATGATAATTATAATAATGATAATGACAATAAAAATAATGATAACCCTAACAGCTGGAAAAATAACGAAAAACAAGAATTAAAGTAAAAGCAAGTATAAGTGTAGAAATGACGATAGCGATGATGCGATGTATGATAATGATATGGATGATGATAATCATCACGATAAAAATAATTACCATATTTATATTAAAGAATTTTATTACTACTACTAATGATAATAATAACGATAAATATGATATTATAATAATTATTATTATGATCACTATTAATAGTATTATCATCATTATTATTATTACCACCATTATCTTCATATGATGATGGCACAACAGCAACAATAATACAAATAATGATAATGATAATTATAATAATATCAGTAGTAAAAATGAAAATGTTGATAAGATTAACAGTAATAAAAATGATAATGATAACAGTAATACTACTAAAAATGAGAATATTGAGAGTGATAATAATAACAATGATGATGATAATAGTATTAAAGATAATATTGATAACGTTATAGCTTAAGTAATAATCATAACAATAATAATTAGAAGCACTCAGACACCGCATACTTCCGCCAAGGCTTTAGGGTCACTGATCCAATAAAAATATTCAAACTTGAAGAATTACATTAGAATAACCTCTTTCTGAGGTACACTGGTGACGTTCGTAAACATGACTTAATGATGATAAAAATAGTTACCCCTGTATATCGCGTTAACTGATGCAATCATTTTAAAGAATCGTGGGTCCGGATCATGATCCGGATCACCACAAAATTGGATGGCATGTAAGTTCGGATAAGACACTCCTCTGGTAAAATTTTCACAGAAATCTGTTCTCAACCTTTTGAGTTATACTGCTAACCATTTAACAAACTAACACGAGCTACCAAAAAGATAACCTCCTTTGCGTGTGTGTAAATTTTTAAATTATATCTTTAATTACTGGCCCTCCACCACTACAACCTTTTGCGGATCACCTGTATTATTGCTAAGATTGAATAATTGGGTTTAAAGGAAACATTATTACTATTCAGATATATCATGAAAATTCACACACAATGCACACAAAATACTAAAATATTTTATGAAAATGGAATGAAAGAAAATGAATGTAAATTTGCAATATAATTCATGTAAAGAAAATTAATATTACGCTTTTGGTACACTTTGTTCATGTGTGACCAATGTTCGTTAACTCAATAGTCATTATTTCCACACTAGATTTCTCACGTAAAGTCCGTGTGCTGATATGTCCTCGCTTTCTTCACTTTGCCTTACTTCTATCTCCTCTTCTCACTCCTCCTTACGCCTCATGCCTCATGCCTCACGCCTTATACCTTAGCTCTCACGCCTCACGGATGCAGACGGGCGCACTTATTGGTGACGCGAATCAGCACTTTTCTACTACACACCGGAAATCCTATTAATTTATAGAAACCCTATTTTATTTCATTTCTTTACTTTCTTTTTGTTCACTTTTAATGTCACTTTTCTACGTTTAATAATAAGTTAACAAGTGTTTTTTTTCCTTACCGAGGATTTGCAAAGCAGTTGTTGATTGCCTCCTCGGGTGGGCATGTCTCGTCTGGGCAGCTGTGCGTGTGAATGTGACGTCACACTAGGGGAATTCCCTGGACATTCACTAATTTCATTTTCATTTTTTAAATTTGATTTTCTTTTTTTCTTTTTTATTTATGTATCACACGTGTTCAGTTTATTTATATTGGTCACATTTTTTTTATTTTCTATTTATGTATTTCTTTTCCATTTTCTTTGGTCACGCAATGGATATTGGTCACTTTTCTTAGGTCATTTGTTTACTCAGAAATAATTACAATGTTTCCATAGAAAAAAAAAATCTATTATGTGTGCACAAAATACGCATAATCCGATCTGCATTCATTTACTCATTCAACATTTTATTTCATTCGAATGCACACTTCCTCATACACGTCACTGCTTCACAGGACTTCGTTCACACTTCGACTCGCACACTCACTCACTCTTAGCAGTCGCTACGTTCACGTAGGATATGATCCTAACTGCCATTTGACCTTCTTTCTGACATTTAATTGCATTCCTTACCCTTTCATATATAAATATATATATACACATTAGTATGTATGTATATATAAATAAGCATATGTATATATATATATATATATATATATATATATATATCGATATATATTTGCATAAATATATATATATATATATTCATTTATTTATTCATATTAAATGAATGTACGCATATTTATATACATATGCATATATGCATGCATATACATATATATGAATATATAAACATATATACATGTATAAATGTATATGTATATGTGTGTGTGTGTGTGTGCATGCATATATACATATGCACACACATATGTATATAAACACATTTATATATATAAACAAATGTGTGTGCGTGTGTGTACATATATTGTTATGTATACATATACATACACCCTTATATATATATGTAAATGTATACATATATATTATAAGTATATATGCATTTATATATATACAAGAGAGGGAGAGAGAAAAAAAATCTTTTTAAATGTAGTCTTTTCTTTTATTTCTTTTACCTTATCTCTCACACGATTTGGATTTTTAAACATACTTCCTCGTGTTTGTGCTATTTGTTGAAAACAACAAAAAATAAATTAAAACTGTGAAGCATATAAATGCATGGGTTGAGCGCGTGTGCGTGCACGTGGCTGCGTTGTGCATGTCCAGATGGATCAGTGCATCCGTCACAGTCCTCTCTCTCGAGGGTTCGGACGAGACCTTCCTTCGGGGCTTTCCCTTGGCAGGCGGAACCCCGAGGGGATGCCATCAGGCTCCACAGCCGGGAGTTATTTATATCTGCCTTTAGGAGTGTTGCTCTGCCAGGGCATCATTCTCGGAGGATGTCAAATTTACCAATCGTTTGAGAAGGTATCAGATTACCAATGAAGGTATCATATTAAAAATACACATATATGCTGCAGTCTTTATTTTGGGAGGAAAATGGGTCAAGATGTTGCATCTATTGACTACAATGTTTATAGGTTTGCTGTGTTGCCTTATGAGGGTATCATTCGTAGAGGATATCAAGTCAAAAGCCAGGGATCCATATTCGCAAAGTCAATGCTTCCTTAGACACTTATGAATTTGAACACTTCGCTAATAGTTTCTCTTCGGTTAGGCTTGCAACCACGTTCATAAGGCAGGAGTTCATAAGAGACTTCTTGAGCTCCATGAAATGTAATAGCTGAAAGGCAGAAGAAGCTCGGATGAGAAAAAACATGCACCTGAAGAGAAATGTAAATATGAAGTGAATTCACAAGAGTGCCGACTCATGAAATACACTCAATACTCACGTCAGCTTCTAGGGGTTCCTCAGACAAGTTGGAAAGGGCTGTAGATAAGGCCTCTTTTGCTACTGAATCCTCTGCTGCATCAATCTTTGTTCGCAGAAGTTCCATGACCTTAGTTACGTTGACCTCCTCGCCATCCTGAAGAGAAAGACAACAAAGGGTCCTCTACATCACACAGCATCTGGAAGCTAAGATGGTTAAACTATATACTGAAACTCAATGCGAATATTTAGCACTTGTGAGTACACACGTACCAGGACTCCATGGTCTTCGAGGGCGCACAGCGACACCAATCTTCGGCTTTCGCCGAGATACCCTTGAGTTCTTCGCGGAAGCACAGCGCGTGCTTTAGGTGGGGCTTCTTGTCGGAAGCCAAGGCAGGGTGTGAAGCTGACCAAGGCCAGAAAAAGGCGATTAGTAACATGTCCGAAGGGAAATCTCATGCAATCATCAATGGCATTGATGTCTGCTTGAGAAAATACAATAAAGTCCTGAAATGGCTG